TTACTCCAGTGTATTTGAATTCTTGAGTTAAATTTAGTGTAACTTGCACTGGGTGAATGTTTAATGATGATTGCATTTGAAGTTGGATGGTGTAGTTGTTTTAGACAGCTGAGGTTGTGTTCAGACTCCATGATATGAAACTATTGCTGTTATTATAATTAAAACAAAAAAGTATTATTTGAAAATGTCCAGTTGAAATAATGAATAGACTTCAGTTGTGACCTTAAATGTTAATCTGCATTAGTTTCAATGTGCTTTATGCAAAGTTGCTTTGAATATTGAGACTGAAAGTTAGAAATGGATCATTGTGTTTGATTTACCACTTAGTTAAATTTTGATAAACTGAAAGATATGTTTCTAATGTTGTTAAAGATTAATATATATATATATATTTTTTTTTTGAATGGGAAATTTTATCTTAGGTTATATTTGTGAAAGTTATATTTTCCAAATATATCATCATCATCATTTTTATTATTTGTAAAAATGCTCAGTTAACAAACAACCTGTCACTAGTTGGTGGAATCTAAAACTACACATTGCATAATAGATGCTGAAAAGAACTTACCTTAGTTACCAAACAAGTATCAGTTCCCCTTGTCTTCTCCCCAAAATTGGTTGGTCCACACTCGGAGGGCTATATAAACTGGCGCAGTATAGTTTACTAGGTCCACATGTGCCCTGTTTTAGTGGAGCAGGCAAAGAAATCAGGAATCCCTTTTATAGATCTGGGAGTGAGCTATGCCAACCACGTGCCTGCTGCCTTCCTGTCTTGAAATGATAGTAGCTCAGGTTTCAATGATGCAGATATACTGGCAGGGTCCATATTTAGGCAGTCCTTAACTCTGTCTGTGTGCTTACCCATGTTAGATTGGCAAGATCTTCTTCCTCTGGTTGCAAAATTTAGATTGAGTGCCTAGCTCATGTGATTGGATCTTTTATTCAGTGTAAAATGCAGATTGGTTTTGGCTGCCACTGGGGGTTGTGGATTGATTGGGGAGGAATTTTTTGGAATTATTGAAATAAAATTTTATCTATTTTCTATTGCTGTGCTGGTTCTTAGATTTTATGGATAAAGTTAATGGATTTGATGACTTTTCTAATGGTTGCTAATATTACATTACATGTACACAATATTTAGATATTTATTAGATTGCTAACCAATACTGTTATCCTGTTATTTATACTATGTTTCCAAGATGTCTTACATTATGGTTAATGTAAGATGTGGCTTAGATAAATGTCAACTGGAAGGGTAAATGATCGACAACTAGCCATTCCCTGTTGAATTATGAATATTGATATAGAAATTACACAGAGTGTTTGTTATTTTAAGCTTTTTCAAAATCACATGGAACATTCACTGAAGCCATCTGTCTAAAAAGAACTTTCCCCTCTTTATAAAAATCAATGCGATGTGGGTCTGCACTACGTACCACTCTGGGTTGCCCTTTCACATTTGGACATGAGGCTATGCCAAGGTAAGGTGTACAAAATTCTGGGGTGCAAGATTTGAAATTGCCTTGGAACAGTTGTAAGAGATGTTAACTGTATTCCTGAGTGGGAGGAGGGCAGTGATCTGAAATTAGGGGGATAGATGCTTAGATTTATCATTTCTGATAATAGTATATGGGTGTTGATGGATAATATGCAGGTTTTACACCTCAAGAATTTGAATAATTGCCAATCTTCTTTTTGGGGTTCACTATAGTTTTGGCAAAAGTCTTATTTCTTGGGGTTAAAGGGAATATGATTCAAAATTGATTTATTTTTAAGAATACCATGCATTTGATTGAATGGCTGTTTTGTTGCCCCAAATTTTAGGTCGATGCATAATTTCAGGATTGTTCTTTTCAGTTCTATCCTGGCTTTTTAACATCGCCAAAAACAGACACAGTGTAGACCTTGTTTCTGTAGCAATTCAATAAGTGATATCTTGCAATGATTTGCCTTTCAATTATATTTACTGAGAATTTATATCAGGCTGTTTATTTACCAACAGCTGAAAAGTATGGTCAAAACCTTATTGAAAATTATTACAGTTGCTTACAAATTTGGAACATCTCACTGATTTTGTGCTTTTTTCTTCTTCTCAAGATGTAACGTAGTCTAGTTTCCCACAAGTTTTGTACTCTTGCATATGCATTTTTATATTAATTTATTTATGGTATCCCAGGTTGACAATTTAGTAGGCAATGGTATAATCATTATAGAAAGGTGATTATTACTGACTATTCCATTTATTTATTTATTTATTTATTTATTTGTTTGTTTGTTTGTTTGTCTGTCTGCCTGTTTATATTGCCCCATAAAGATCTTCCTCTTGTGGTTGCACATATTTGTACAATCTGTGTCTCAATAACCAATGTTGCCTGTGCAGCACTCTCTATTGATCTTGGTGGACAGTACACAGTGGTGAATATGCAAGCAGGATAAGGCTCAAGGGATGCTTTGTGTTGAATAAATCCAAATTTATTCCACTCTGCTCTCTCTGATGCCAGATTATTTCGTGTCATTTGAGAATCATATTCACCAGAGACTGCATATACAGTTATTTTTGCATTTGATAGACTGTATGGCAGATTGGTCCTGGTGTGACTTATGTAGTCTTTGACATTGTGCTTATTTATATGTGTAATTATTTCTGTAATATGCATATATTCACCACAGTTTCCCAGCTGTTTTATTACAGTTAGGTGAAGATTCCTGCATAAAGTCAGTATAGATATAATCAACAAATCCACTGGAAGATTGATAATTATGTTCATGTGATAATATTTTATTGCCAGTGGTAACTGTCTAAATCATCTTGCATTTTGTCATGATATTTTCAGATTGTGCACCATGTTCATCTAAGGCTTTGCTACTCGAAGCACTTTGTCCTCGACATCACTACAAATAGATGCAATTCCAGATAGCTGATAGATTGCCATGCAAAACAACGAGAGAAAGGAGAAGAACTTATTAACTCCTGGTGGGATTTCTTTTCACAGAAATTGTCATTGATTGTACATTTTGTAGTCTGTTATCTTGATAGGCAATGCTGTAACTCCATATTAGGTTTAAAGGGTTCTCAATATGTACTACTCATATAGAATTCACTAGTGTCCATATACGGGTGGGATGGACACAATTTATCAGCATATGATATCCCAAGTTTGGAAAAGTTGTACTACACACAACAATTAGTGAGCAGCTGATGAAAGTGAAGTAATTGCAGTGTTTTGAACCCTGCAGCTGTTCATCATGGCGTAATTGTGGTTTTTTTGTTGGGAAAACTGTACTTTATGACATGGCTTAATTCACAAAGCAGAAAAAAAATGAAAAATAAAATTGTCATGGGGCTGGGGTTCTAAAACTTTCTCTTGTATGTCATTAGTTCATAATAGTTATCTAACCATCATCAGCTCACTTGTAGCCAACCTCTACATGGTTTTACTCCATTGGCTAAGGTGGACTTCTGCTAGGCTGTTAATTTTTCCTTTATTGTTACTCATGACTGGTGATGACTGTTAAAGTGTTTTAGAACACGTTTTGTCTTTGATTATATGACTTAATGTCATCAAAGGACATGAGGCACAAGACTTTTATGGCCCAAAGTCCATATGTACTTGCTTTGTCAGGAGTTGAGTTAGATATTCATGTCATTCATCCCAAACATGGGTAACCCTCTTAAGATGTCGTGTCATGCTAACTTTGCATTGTGTATACAATTTGTTTGGTTCTCTTTAATAAGGCTTATGGAATAATAATGCTTCAAATTTTTTATGGTAGATTATTTTCAAAAATCTCAAAGTAGAATAAAGTGTTTTAAGTTTGTGGAGGATTTTTAGTAAGGATTGCAGTGCACCTGATTGTAAAACTACTTTTTAAAAATACTCCATAACAGCAAGAAATGCTTCAAGTTAGGTTTGTCAAATGACAGGCATCCATGGTATAATAAAAAAGCACACACTATCCTGCCTAAGTTGATATATACCAGCCTCAGACGTTTGCAGGAAATTAACTGTGACAGAGCATGGGTTGAAAAAGTAATGAAAAGGGATGTTTTTAATATTTGCCGCAATGTGCTTAGGACTTGTAGCATGAGAGAAGCATTGTTTGAGCAATATCCTTTAACACATCCATATAATGAGTGTGTTATATGTTTGAAGATTTGGAAACCATTGACTGAGTGTTTAACCATAGCCAGATGTGGAACAATAAAAATATTTGAAAATGAATGGTTTATTGCCTGTTGGAGGTTAGTCATAGACAAATGTCTGGATAGAGAAGTGGTTAAAACTGCTTTAAAAAAGTACTACTGTTGTACATATTGGGGGTAAAAGTGTGGTCACAACTTCTGAAATATGATGAAATAGATGTTTCATTTTGTCATGTGTAGTGATTGTAAAAAAGAGTCACTTATGAGATCAAAGGCCTACATAACGTGCCTCTTGAATAAAAAGTGTTCTTAGAAATGGCTTACTTCCTTACCATACACATTTATTGAATTTTTGCAAGCAGCTATCAGTGGTATTGTTTATACATTGATGTAATTTTCAAAACCACAGAGCAGCCAAACAAAATCAAATATATAATATATAAGAACAATTGCTGGAATAAAATGTATTATAAAACCACCGTGTTATTTATTATTATTTTGTATGACGTACTATGGAAAAAAATTGTGGAGTGAGATTTTGTTGGGGTGAATGTGGTAGGGTGCAGGCTTGTGTGTTTGTATGCATTTAGTGGTGATTTTGTGTTTGCTGCTGTGTTGTTATTTGATATCTACATTTAGGTAAAGCGAAATATTGTATTTCCATGCTGAAATGTTTTGAAATGTGATACAGATGTTTTAAGCTACACAACCAGTTAGCAATTTTGTAATTGTAATTCAAGATATATTTTGTATATGCACTCTCATGCAAAAGTTAACATTTGCTCTTTGGTCCTGAAATTTTCTTAAGAGCCAGTTGACCCCAATTCTAATTTTTTTCTCCTCTCTGTATTTTCAGTGCTATGCGCATCCTGCTGGCCAAGCTACCAAGACCATGGATAGTAGATGAGAAAAAGGATGATGGCTACACAGCACTGCATCTGGCTGCTCTCAATAACCATGTGGAAGTGGCTGAGCTCCTTGTGCATCAGGTAATTCGCGTGATATTTGGCTTGCTGTACCATTCATTCATTCATATATTCACTTACTCATTCACTCACTCATTTATTTGTATTGTTTTGACCATAACTGGCGTCTGTTAGTTGGGTGTGCTTTTATTTGATGAATGAAGTGACGTATACTTATTGGCCACAGCTTCTGATATCATCTCTATTAGTCAGTGTATCAGGTAATTACTTACCATAATAACTTTAGAATGTGCATAATATGTGCAGTTATGAAACTTGGGAAAAGTATCTGTGTGAAAACACCCTTTTATAGTTAAAGAACCCATCATCTTAAGAAAAGTATTTCAGTAAGTTAACATAACATTGAGTTGTCAGAAAGAAAACTGGGTATGTTTTATATTTAGCCTGGTGAGGTCTGTCTTCAGTCATGTTTCTGGTCAAGCTGGGTTGACCTTACTTGGTATGGCCCATCTCACTGGGGTAAGGGGGTCACATTTATGATGATAAGCCCACCATGGAAAGTCATTTTAAAGAAGTGCTTCTGATTTTACTTCAATGATGGTAGGCAAGAAAACGTGGATTAGATTTGCTGCCTATCTTTGGTGAAATGATTGTAATATGACAGCTAGCTAAGATGGGTTCTACTGAGGTAGTTCAGCCTAGCTTGACTGGAAATGTGACTTAAGGCTGGAAACTTGCCAATTTTCTCCATCACAAAGCACATAAGAGACAAACCTTATAGTTATCTGGTGATGCCATTATGGTAGATTTTGGTCTGAACTAGCCCTTGTTTGAACAGACCTTTAGATAATGTATTGTGTAATTGTTGTGTAACAGTCTGTCTCGGGGCACGCATGAGTTTGGATATAGTCTCACGCCATGGTAACATGTCATATGTAATAAATGCGTTAGTGGAGCATATGTCTTATTAATGTAATACCCTAGTAATGGTGTGCCATGAGTGCATGTAAACTTTCCCTGCCTTTCCTGTACAACAGGTTTGTGAAAATGTTGTAGTTGAGAAAATGCTTGCCAATTTTATAGAATACAATGGTTATAATACAGATGATCCATCTGGTTTTGACAGTTTGAGGGCAAAATTCTAAAAAACAGAAATCAAAAAGACAAGATAGAGATAAGCTCTGTTTTACCCATACCCCCTCAGCTGTACTTTATGCTATTGCAAACACATTCTTTATGAATATGCTTTCAGGGCAAGGCCAACCTTGACATTCAGAATGTGAATCTCCAGACCCCATTGCATTTATCAGTAGAGAGGCAGCACACACAGATTGTACGGGTAAGTTGTGTTGATTTTCAATGGAAAAATAATGTCTTTTTGATGGTTATTGTAATCTGAACCGGTGAAGACCGATAATAGATAATTATCTCATGAGAAATACCTACACAATAAGCTATTTAGGTTGTGGATGAAAAATTGACTGATGTTGACTTAGCAAGAATGATAGAATAATATTATAGTATGGTGCAAGGAAGAAAAGCATATTCTTTTTATCAAATTGATATTTATGTATGTTGAGTCATTTAGTCATATTTCTCTCTTTGGACAGTGGTTTGCTGGTATTAGACTGTAGATGATAATATCCCTCTCCCTCCTCAATAAACTGTTTGATGGTACTTTTGAATATGATTTTGTTGTTCCTTTAACTGTGAAATATTTCACAAATATTTTACTTCCTTGTTCAGCTTTTGGTGAGAGAGGCATGTAATCTTAACATCCCAGACAAGGATGGTGACACTCCCCTCCATGAAGCACTAAGGCATCACACACTATCACAGCTGAGACAGCTACAGGATATGCAAGATGTTGGCAAGGTGAGGTTCTGATGCAGGGGAAAATGAAGGGTAGGAGAGTGAGGAGAGGAAGTGGGAATGTGAAAGGCACATTGACAGATCTGAAGCAAATATGTTTTTGTGCATGTGCTTCAAGTGTGTGTGTGTGTGTGTGTGTGTGTGTGTGTGTGTGTGTGTGTGTGTGTGTGTGTGTGTAAGAAAGCAGCTGGATATTAAAAGGAATACAGAAAAGGTTACACTGTGTGAAAATAAACTAAGGATAACACGTCAAGAAAAACTATAATTATTTTCTTTATACAGTCTAAGTATTTAAAAAATCTGACAGAAAGATGTTCATTCTGGTATCCCTTATCATTTAATCTTGCAGCTCTTGATGGGCTTGGGGACTCAAGGTGCAGACAAGAAGTCCAGTGCATCCATTGCCTGTTTCCTGGCAGCTAACGGTGCAGACCTGAACATCAAGAACAAGAAAGGCCAGTCTCCCCTGGATCTCTGTCCAGACCCTAACCTCTGTAAGGCTCTTGCCAAGTGTCATAAGGACAAATCTAGGTAGGTCATGTATGGATTTTGGAGAAGCAAACATCACTAAATAATTGTGCTAATGGTCCTTGCTCACAAACTGGAATTTATTCCAATAGCTGATTTGATAATAGAACATTGGCGGTGATTATAAAGTTTGTCAGATTCAGACAGTATTTATTGTTCTTTTGGCCTGCTCTGAAAATTACTGTATCAGTCCAGTCATTGTGAACATTAATTGTGTTCTGTTCCAGTGCTGGTATGACCCCTGCCTCTTCCATCACGCTGCGCCAAGACGAGGAGTCTCTTGAAGAATGCATGGTGTGTTCAGACATGAAGAGGGACACGTTGTTTGGGCCGTGTTGTCACATAGCTACCTGTAGTTTGTGTTCACCCAGAGTGAAGAAGTGCTTGATGTGTAAAGAACAAGTGCAATCCAGAACCAAGGTACATTGCATTGTCATATTGATATGACTTATGTGATTTTGATGATTGGAATTCAGTTTAAGGACCTTGTTTGGTTAACAATGAAATCTGCACTTGAGTCAACAGGAAGGTTGTTGTAGATAGAATATGGTGACATACACTCATCCTTGTAGAGCCACTTATTATTTATGTCATTTCCAATCCTAATGTATGACAAATTATAGCATTAACTTTAAGAAATAAATATTCTACCTAAGTGTATATTTAATTCTTCAAGTAATTAATCACCTGACGTTGATGTTATCTCCTGTGTTTCAGTTTTTCAGTTATCTCCTATGTGGTATTTTTTCCCCTTGATTATGTAAATAGAATAACAATAACTTTTTTTAGTTTTTTTTTAAATGACCATGTTTTTGTTTTAGATTGAAGAGTGTGTTGTGTGTTCTGACAAGAAAGCTTCAATTCTTTTCAAACCATGTGGACATATGTGTGCTTGTGATGGTAGGTACAATATTGCCTTACAAAGCTAAATGATATTCTTACTAAAACCAAATCAGGCACATTAAGATAAAGTGTAGACCTTACATACAGATTATATAAATTGAATAACAGAGTGCTTGGGATTTTTCTTTCAAAAAGGTTTCGACTACTTTTACGTTTGTATGAAAAACCTTTGCTTTGCTTTGGTCTTCAAAAAGGTTTCGACTACTTTTACGTTTGTATAAAAAAAACTTTGCTTTGCTTTGGTCTAAAACATATTTTATTGATTCGTATTTCAGGTTGTGCTGCTCTGATGAAGAAATGTGTTCAGTGTAGATCCTCCATTGACAAGATGATCCCATTCATTGTTTGTTGTGGAGGGACACGTAAGTGAAAAGCAAACAACTGTAGATATATTCACAGTTATTAATTTTTGGGGGCCCTCTCCATGTACTATGGGAGTTTTGTACTTTTGTTGCATAATTTAAAAAATTCAGGGTTTTGGTTTTTGGAGCCATTTTGCCTAGTTGTTAGTTGTCTGCCTGTGGTGAACAAAATTTTTGATGTCTGCTTCTTTATGAGCAGGATATCTAAAGCACCAGCATGTTTTGATAACAAAATTTATTTCTATGGAAAGAGAATGTAAGTAGAGTTCTTTTCCTGGATTGGCAACTTGAAAATTGCAATGATGACTTGTTTAGCTTTCAAAATATCATTTTAAAAACATTTTTCACTTCACAGCACCTCCCACCGTCACACCAGCTGGAAAGAATGAAGTGCTGAACAATGTTCATGATGTCCAGAAATTACAGCAACAGTTGCAGGATATCAAAGATCAGGTACAGTAACAGCATAGTATAATAGCTTGTTTGTGTACAAACAGCAATACAGTGCTTATTTAGTATTTTACAGCTTTTACATTTCATATAGCAATTTTTTATGAACTTGGGTCACTTGCAAATGTTATAATGTAATTTACTTGAAACAAAGCTAATAAAAAACAGTATATTCTATTTATTTCATCTTTAAATAATTTTTGAATTTTTCATTTTCTGTAATTCAGATCTTGGCATCTCAGGTGTGTATTTCACATAGGAATTCTTATTCATTCCAGACTTGCTGTCCAGTCTGCATGGACAGGCTGAAGAACATGATCTTCTTGTGCGGCCATGGCACTTGTCAGCTGTGTGGAGACAGGATGTCAGAATGCCCCATCTGCAGGAAAGGAGTGGAGAAGAGGATCCTTCTCTATTAAAAAATACAGCAGCAATGCTGGAGCCTGTTTCACAACTCTTCTTGTGACCAAAGTTACCATTTTTACAACATAGACAAATTAGGATTTTTATGTCATACATAAGACATGGACTCTTAGCTCAATTTTATTTATTTCACCCACAGACTTGCTATAAAATAGAGTCAGAAGTGATATTGTCTTAAAGGTGACACTGCAGGAACAGGTGGTTCTAAGTGAAGGTTAAACAGGGTTAAATCACCTCTTAGGTGAGACTAGTATTGTTGTTGTAAACTTACTGAACCATAATACTTGGAGAAGTTTGAAAGTGGATGATGAGATTAATTATTGGATTTGGTGTCATGTTTAGAAATTGAAACTGAAATTATAACAACATTTGTTGCCAAATAGAAGAGTTCAGCATTCAAGCTCATCTTTCAATGTAGTTTGTAAAAGTATTTGAATTTTTTTCTTTAAAACACCACATTAAGGCTTCGTTCACATGCANGAAAATTCTTGTTGTCTGCATGTTTACAGCTTGTCAAGCACAAGACTGGTGACTGTGTCCCTTATTTTGTGTATGTGGGGGTCTATACGAATGCGCTTGCTCCAGCTGGTGGTACAATATTTGGAGGCGGTATCGCCTCTCTGATCCTCTAGTTTGTAATGTTTTGACCATAACTGGCATCTGTTAGTTGGGTGTTCTTTTATTGGATGAATTAAGTGACATGCTTATTGGCCACAGCTTCTGATATCCCTATTAGTTTTTAGTGTGTCAGGTAATTTCTTACCATAATAACTTTAGAATGTGCATAGGTTAGGTTATGAAACTAATGGAAATTAACTGTGTGAAAACACACGCTTTTATAGTTAAAGAACCCATCATCTTAAGAAAAGTATTTCAGTAAGTTAAAATAACATTGAGTTGTCAGAAAGAAAACTGGGTATGTTTTATATTTAGCCTGGTAAGGTCTGTCTCCAGTCATGTTTCTGGTCAAGCTGGGTTGACCTTACTTGGTATTGCTCATCTCACTGGGGTAAGGGGGTCACATAATGATAAGCCCACCATGGAAAGTCATATTAAAGAAGTGCTTCTGATTTAACTACAATGATGGTAGGCAAGAAAACGTGGATTACATTTGCTGCCTATGTTTGGTGAGATGATTGTAATATGACAGCTAGTTAAAATGGGTTCTGCTGAGGTAGTTCGGCCTAGCTGGACTGGAAATGTGACTTAAGGCTGGAAACTTGCCAATTTTCCCCATCACAAAGCACATAAGAGACAAACCTTATAGTTATCTGGTGATGCCATTATGGTAGATTTTGGTCTGAACTAGCCCTGGTTTGAACAGACCTTTAGATAATGTATTGTGTAATTGTTGTGTAACAGTCTGTCTCGGGGCATGCATGAGTTTGGATATAGTCTCACGCCATGGTAACATGTCATATGTAATAAATGCGTTAGTGGAGCATATGTCTTATTAATGTAATACCCTAGTAATGGTGTGCCATGAGTGCGTGTAAACTTTCCCTCCCTTTCCTTTACAACAGGTTTGTGAAAATGTGGTAGTTGAGAAAATGCTTGCCAATTTTTTAGAATACAATGGTTTTAATACAGATGATCAATCTGGTTTTGACAGTTTGAAGGCAAAAATATTTAAAAAAAAAAAAAAAAAAAAAAAAAACAGAATTCAAAAAGATATAGATAACTTCTGTTTTACCCATACCCCCCTCAGCTGTACTCCTGTGCTATTGCAAACACATTCTTTATGAATATGCTTTCAGGGCAAGGCCAACCTTGACATTCAGAATGTGAATCTCCAGACCCCATTGCATTTATCAGTAGAGAGGCAGCACACACAGATTGTACGGGTAAGTTGACTGTTGATTTTCAATGGAAAAATAGTCTTTTTGATGGTTATTGTAATCTGAACCGGTGAAGACCGATAATAGATAATTATCTCATGAGAAATACCTACACAATAAGCTATTTAGGTTATGTGTGAAAATTGACTGATGTTGACTTAGCAAGAATGATAGAATAATATTATAGTATGGTGCAAGGAAGAAAAGCATATTCTTTTTATCAAATTGATATTTATGTATGTTGAGTCATTTAGTCATATTTCTCTCTTTGGACAGTGGTTTGCTGGTATTAGATGATAATATCCCTCTCCCTCAATAAACTGTTTGCTGGTACTTTTGAATATGATTTTGTTGTTCTTTTAACTGTGAAATATTTCACAAATATTTTACTTCCTTGTTCAGCTTTTGGTGAGAGAGGCATGTAATCTTAACATCCCAGACAAGGATGGTGACACTCCCCTCCATGAAGCACTAAGGCATCACACACTATCACAGCTGAGACAGCTACAGGATATGCAAGATGTTGGCAAGGTGAGGTTCTGATGCAGGGGAAAATGAAGGGTAGGAGAGTGAGGAGAGGAAGTGGGAATGTGAAAGGCACATTGACAGATCTTAAGCAAATGTGTTTTTGAGCATGTGCTTCAAGTATGCTCATGTGTGTGTGTGTGTGTGTGTGTGTGTGTGTGTGTGTGTGTGTGTGTGTGTGTGTGTGTGTGTGTGTGTAAAAGCAGCTGAGTATTAAAAGGAATACAGAAAAGGTTACACTGTGAAAATAAACTAAGGATAACACGTCAAGAAAAACTATAATTATTTTCTTTATACAGTCTAAGTATTTAAAAAATCTGACAGAAAGATGTTCATTCTGGTATCCCTTATCATTTAATCTTGCAGCTCTTGATGGGCTTGGGGACTCAAGGTGCAGACAAGAAGTCCAGTGCATCCATTGCCTGTTTCCTGGCAGCTAACGGTGCAGACCTGAACATCAAGAACAAGAAAGGCCAGTCTCCCCTGGATCTCTGTCCAGACCCTAACCTCTGTAAGGCTCTTGCCAAGTGTCATAAGGACAAATCTAGGTAGGTCATGTATGGATTTTGGAGAAGCAAACATCACTAAATAATTGTGCTAATGGTCCTTGCTCACAAACTGGAATTTATTCCAATAGCTGATTTGATAATAGAACATTGGCGGTGATTATAAAGTTTGTCAGATTCAGACAGTATTTATTGTTCTTTTGGTCTGCTCTGAAAATGACTGTATCAGTCCAGTCATTGTGAACATTAATTGTGTTCTATTCCAGTGCTGGTATGACCCCTGCCTCTTCCATCACACTGCGCCAAGACGAGGAGTCTCTTGAAGAATGCATGGTGTGTTCAGACATGAAGAGGGACACGTTGTTTGGGCCATGTTGTCACATAGCTACCTGTAGTTTGTGTTCACCCAGAGTGAAGAAGTGCTTGATGTGTAAAGAACAAGTGCAATCCAGAACCAAGGTACATTGCATTGTCATATTGATATGACTTATTTGATTTTGATGATTGGAATTCACTTTAAGGACCTTGTTTGGTTAACAGTGAAATCTGCACTTGAGTCAACAGGAAGGTTGTTGTAGATAGAATATGGTGGCATACACTCATCCTTGTAGAGCCACTAAATTATTTACTTCATTTACAATCCTAATGTATGACAAATTATAGTATTAACTTTAAGAAATAAATATTCTACCTAAGTGTATATTTAATTCTTTAAGTAATTAATCACCTGACGTTGATGTTAATTTTGATTTGAATTGCAAGTGTTTCAGTTATCTCCTATGTGGTATTTTTTCCCCTTGATTATGTAAATAGAATAACAATAACTTATTTTAGTTTTTTTTTAAATGACCATGTTTTTGTTTTAGATTGAAGAGTGTGTTGTGTGTTCTGACAAGAAAGCTTCAATTCTTTTCAAACCATGTGGACATATGTGTGCTTGTGATGGTAGGTACAATATTGCATTACAAAGCTAAATGATATTCTTACTAAAACCAAATCAGGCACATTAAGATAAAGTGTAGACCTTACATACAGATTATATAAATTGAATAACAGAGTGCTTGGGATTTTTCTTTCAAAAAGGTTTCGACTACTTTTACGTTTGTATAAAAAACCTTTGCTTTGCTTTGGTCTAAAACATTTTTTATTGATTCATATTTCAGGTTGTGCTGCTCTGATGAAGAAATGTGTTCAGTGTAGATCCTCCATTGACAAGATGATCCCATTCATTGTTTGTTGTGGAGGGACACGTAAGTGAAAAGCAAACAACTGTAGATATATTCACAGTTATTAATTTTTGGGGGCCCTCTCCATGTACTATGGGAGTTTTGCACTTTTGTTGCATAATTAAAAAAATTCAGGGTTTTGGTTTTTGGAGCCATTTTGCCTAGATGTTAGTTGTCTGCCTGCGGTGAACAAAATTTTTGATGTCTGCTTCTTTATGAGCAGGATATCTAAAGCACCAGCATGTTTTGATAACAAAATTTATTTCTATGGAAAGAGAATGTAAGTAGAGTTTTTTTCCTGGATTGGCAACTTGAAAATTGCAATGACGACTTGTTTAGCTTTCAAAATATCATTTTAAAAACATTTTTCACTTCACAGCACCTCCCACCGTCACACCAGCTGGAAAGAATGAAGTGCTGAACAATGTTCATGATGTCCAGAAATTACAGCAACAGTTGCAGGACATCAAAGATCAGGTACAGTAACAGCATAGTATAATAGCTTGTTTGTGTACAAACAGCAATACAGTGCTTATTTAGTATTTTACAGCTTTTACATTTCATATAGCAATTTTTTATCAACTTGGGTCACTTGCAAATGTTATAATGTAATTTACTTGAAACAAAGTTAATAAAAAACAGTATATTCTATTTATTTCATCTTTAAATAATTTTTGAATTTTTCATTTTCTGTAATTCAGATCTTGGCATCTCAGGTGTGTATTTCACATAGGAATTCTTATTCATTCCAGACTTGCTGTCCAGTCTGCATGGACAGGCTGAAGAACATGATCTTCTTGTGCGGCCATGGCACTTGTCAGCTGTGTGGAGACAGGATGTCAGAATGCCCCATCTGCAGGAAAGGAGTGGAGAAGAGGATCCTTCTCTATTAAAAAATACAGCAGCAATGCTGGAGCCTGTTTCACAACTCTTCTTGTGACCAAAGTTACCGTTTTTACAACATAGACAAATTAGGATTTTTATGTCATACATAAGACATGGACTCTTAGCTCAATTTTATTTATTTCACCCACAGACTTGCTATAAAATATAGTCGGAAGTGATATTGTCTTAAAGGTGACACTGCAGGAACAGGTGGTTCTTAGTGAAGGTTAAACAGGGTTAAATCACCTCTTAGGTGAGACTAGTATTGTTGTTGTAAACTTACTGAACCATAATACTTGGAGAAGTTTGAAAGTGGATGATGAGATTAATTATTGGATATGGTGTCATATTTAGAAATTGAAACTGAAATTATAACAACATTCGTTGCCAAATAGAAGAGTTCAGCATTCAAGCTCATCTTTCAATGTAGTTTGTAAAAGTATTTGAATTTTTTTCTTTAAAACACCACATTAAGTGTAATTTTATATGTCAGTGATGTTATTGCAGCTAGTTAAAATGTTTTCATTGTCAACCAGTCTCCCTGGTTATTCTTGGGAGTATTTTGAGGAAATATAGTGACTTAATCATGTGTGTTAAGTAATCTCACCTCCAACATTTAGTTACATATGAGTAAACGTGAAATATTTTATATGAATTTTGCTCGACTCATTGTTTAAACTACATACCTCCATTAAAAAAGTGTTATGTTCTCAGAGATGAACTTATCATAGAGCTGTCCCATCACACTGACCATTTACTTTTTTAATGCACCATAGCAAAATGGTTTATGACATTTCCTTATTCTATTTATATAATGCATGTTTGAATTCTTCAAGTATGACCTTTCCTACCCATTTTTGAAGGGAACAGTGCAATCAGAGTTAAAGGAATCCACAATGCAGAAGTTTATAGAACAAGCATGGACTAAAAGAATTGGGTACTTTGCTTGACTTAAGGCAAGTGTGTTATATAGCATGTAATAAAATTATAAGAATTATAGATTAATAACAAGCAATGTTGCTTATAATTGTAAACTTATATGTGAATATTATTGTATTATTTTAATATGAGTGACTAGGACCTTAGTCATGGAGAAATTGTCTGTATTTGACAGAAATGTGCGTGAACCGGGTAACAGGTTGCCAGTAATGTAAAAATATGCCAATTATTGATACAATAAAAAGCTTTTTATTAAACACAAAACAAGATTTTGATTTTGATCTATTTTTATTTTGACCAGTATTTACTTACAAAATAATAATAAAAGCAGAGCATGAATGATTTGTCATGCTAAAGAATTGCTGGTACACTATGATTTCTCAAACAAATGGCATCTTCACTTTATCAACAGTATCTTTGCTCCACTTTGAGAAGGAATGTGCTAAGTCAGAACCTGTGTCCATGAAAACAATCAACAGGTGAGCCATTAATTTCATTATTTCAAAATAACTGAAATGCAGCAAAAAAAAAAAGAAAAGAAGAAAAAAAAAACACTTAAAGGACTGAAATAGAAACTGCTAACCTGATATGCCAGTTGGTCAACTTTCTCACATTTGAGTCGAAATACTGTATCTAAAAATAGCCATGCACTGAACAAATGACTGCTATCTCACGCCACTGGACTCTGCCCACTATCAAGTAAACTGAGAGCTGCCATGGCATTCAAGCCCTCTCTCCACCTTTGGAAGGTGACAGTCGACATCCCAAAAGATCTAGAGGCATCATCACTATCCTATCTTTAGGAATTGCTTTTCATTTTTTGTGCTTAACCTATTTCCTATTAAGGTCAGCAGTCATATTCTCCTTGCTCTTTTAGTTGAAGGTGTTCCCTCACTTCCCGTGGCAGGGCTACTAGTTTGTGAATGTGTCTGGCGAGTTCTTTTCCTCTTGGGTGAGTCAGGTGTGGCTGCTGTCAGTATAGGGGTACTTGAAGCCGAAGACTTGCTTGTACTCTTTGTTGTTTGTACTGAAATACAACAATTCTGTCCAAAGCATGCCATAATAACAAATGAATTATTGAATTAAAATATACTTATTTTACCAAAATGAGATGTACGTAAATGGGCTAAATCTTGACCTATCTTCAAGCTGATAAGTTCAGAAATGATAAACAATGTGTGCATGCAGAGGTAAAATGAATACTCTTTTTCTCTGTTCTCACTGACTAAAAGAATGAATTGAATGTGACACATTCTGCCCCACCAGTTCCCTAAACAGCGCATCAACTTTCTAACGAACATTTTCTCCAATCAAAAGTTTTAATTAGTTATTCTTCTTTATTATTCTGATGTTTTTTTAAGTGGCCTTCTTTAGGCAATGAAGCTATAATTATCGGTATAGCTTCTACCAGAGGCTGTGTAGTCATCAGCACCCTCTGTCCAACCTCCTTGCTCTTCTTCACTTCCTTAGCACTATCTGCTTTCAGTATTTCACAGTCTACTTACCATCTTCTGATCCTGTATCTTTACCTCCGCTCGTTTTAGATGGTTCCTTGTTCATGAGATCACCATACTCTGCTTCTGGCAGGGAAAATTCATTGCTTTTATTTGGAAAAGGGAGAATCTCAGACTCATTCTGAAATGAAAGAACAGAAACATTAAACATATATTAAACCACTGGTCAAATGTTTATCTAGATAAAACCGAGAATATATTTCACAATACTCTTAGTACAGCATAAATAAAGTATTTTCCTTCTTTTATTTATTTATTTATTTATTTATTTATTTATTTATTTTGAAGGGTGAGATACACATTTAAAAAAATTTTTAATCCAAATTAGAAAATCAAACCACAAGTCAATGACCAAGCAGTATTACAAGAGGACAAAATAAAACTTGTACACAGCAAAAAATATCATGCAAAGTGAAAAAAATCATAGATGATCAATATCCGAGAACAGCAAATAAAAATTTTTACCAAAGCTTGGAGATCATAAAGAGTGGCAAGGTATGCCCAGATCTGTTTTGATGAAACCTTTCTGTAGCTTGGACTGTTCAGTTTTTCATGGATAAATAGCATCTGGAAGTGTCTGTTCACACCTGAATACATGAAAAGATTAAATACCATACATCATTATTGTCATGCCTCAGTTGGGACCCTATAGGGGAAGGGTAAATTACCTTCCTATTTGACAAGAGGGATCTGTAAGACAGAACAACAGAACACAACAAACCTATTCCTAAATGGCAGGCAAGTTGCCAAAGAGTGAAAAGATACTTACAGCTAAAAATAAAACCTTTTTCAGACTCACATACATAGCTACATGTGCACCAAACTTCAAGCCTCTGACTTTAATCGTTAAAAAGATATCATTATCACGTGTGGGTCCTAGGGGGTGTGACTGAAATGCGCAATACACTGCAATACAGCGCAATACACTTGAAAACACAAGTCCAGTTGCAAGTAAAAACAGGAAAGGGTAATCTCAAATAAAATAGGGTGATATAAAACAAAATATAGTACATAGTAATTAATATTGCTGATACAACTTGACAATTTTTTTCATTGTTTGGTCAGCCTCCATGTTGGCAAGTAGCTCTTCTTGGCCAGTAATATATCCAAAAAGAGCCACTCGCCAACATGGCTGCCAACCGGACAATATAAAAGTCTTGCTGAATTGTTAAGTTAACGATATTACTTACCTAGTAATATAGGTTGTTTTTATATCACCCTACTTTGCTGGAAATGGTCATTTCTTTTGTGTAATTGAAACTGAATTTGATTTTTGAAGTGTATTGCACTGTGTTGTGCTGTATTGCGGTGTATTGCGCAATTCAGTCATACCGGGGGACTTGTAGGAGTAAAAAAATTAGGAACCCCCAAACAGATTTGTTTCCCCAGATCCTTCTATTGAAAAAAAAATCCAGCATTGAGCAACTTTGTACTCTTTTCTAAACATCAAAAGGACGGTATTTTAAAATTACCAACCTCTCTCTCCCCTTTTACTAAAACAAACTTTAAAAATTCAAGTTTAACAATGCGTTCTCATGTGCTGTGAACCAAACTTTGAAAACTGGTGGTGCTGTAAATGAATGCAACAGGGATATGCCATTATTATCAAAAATTACAAACTCTTAAAACTAAGGCTTATCTCACATTCTTACCGACAGGTTTGTGTCCCCTCATTGCATGGAAAAGACTAACTTCCATGTCCACATTCCAAGCTGGATCATCTTCCGCCATTTCTAAATACTGAAGCTAAATTACGATCACTATTCAACTTCGTAAGACATAAGAGATTAATAGATGCCCCCAGTACATATGTGACGCCTAACTTTTTACTTAATGTAAGAATAGTAATAATAATAATAAATGAATTTTACTGTTGTGATCACATGATGTTAATAAAATAATTTCTACTGACAGAAAATAAATAGTTGTATGGAATGTAACTCTGCTTACTATGATCCAGCCTGTCTTGATTGTTATGAAACCCTTCTGTATAACTTATAGGGATACTTTAATTTCATCAAATATCAGATAAAAATGTAAATAAGTATTCAAAACGGCCAAAAGAAAGATTGCATCGAAAAGGTGAATTCGTGAAGTTAAACTTCCTGGCTCGATTTGGCTTTTGCTTATAGCCTAAAAAGCCATATTCCGCCATCTTGCGGTCTGATTTTGTCCTGTTCTCTGCGCTCACCTAGCATTGTATCTCTAGCTGCCTGTGGGAAAGACGAAAACGCACGCGGAGAGCATTGACATTTCAGAATGGAAACGTATCTAAGGAACCCGGTGAATTGTGAAGAAGACTGGGACGATCCCGACCAAAATGACTCTGTTCCCACTACAGTCTATTCACATACCTTTACTAATTCCAGTCGTGAACCACAAAGATACAGTGCCAAAGCAAACAGTGGCTGGGATCCGTGGGAAGACAAAAACCCAAGTTTTGCCGCTGCAACCCCCGAAGCAGGTTACGACGATTTCCGAGGCAGTAGTAACTCTAAAAGAGGGTTTGGCCGGGGTGCGTGGATGGAAAGAGAGTCCTCAAATAGCAGAGGCGGGCGTGGGAGGAGAGGATTTGGTGGGGGCTTCGGCAACAGAAGCACTGACGACCACCGCAGATTGGAAGATAGAGATGGGTCGGACTCGAGTCGAAATGACGGCGGACAAACAGAAAGAAGTTTTGGCAGAGGTCGGGGATTTGGTCGGTCAAGGGATCGGAGTTCAGACTTTGGTGAAAACACCAGGAGCAGAGACTCTAATGATTATCAAAATAGTGACAGGGGCAGTAGAAGGGATTTCAATTTTGGAGGAGGGGGTGATAGTGACACTATGGTGGTACCAAGTAGCAAGGTTGGGAAGATTATAGGTATGTTCACTGTAGAAGGCCATCCTCTGCTTCAACTAGGTAAACATACATGCACGGTACAATGTATATTTATGTATAACATGTTCTTTTTTTCATAATTGTTTTCTGTATCTGGACTGTTCTTATTACCAGGTAAAGGTGGCTCCAAGATCAAAGAACTTCAGAGTTCCAGTGGTGCTAGGATCAAAGTAAATATTTTATAAATAATATTTGTAAAATATAAAATTAAAGTATTCATACTGAGAACTTCTTGATGACTTAAACACATTTTAATTCTTAAAAAAATATGGTTCTTGCAATTTTTAAACAAGCACTCTCATCCTTTGTGTTATGTGCCAACAGTCAGAAAAGGTATAAAATTGGAATAAAATGATTTAATTGATTTCTTTTCTAAAATATTACATTTTAAATATTAAGATTGGTGAAGCAGGAGCACTAGAAACAGATGTCCAGATACATGGGAGCAAAGAGGCAAGGGATAAAGCTAAAGAATTGATAGAAGACCTCTTGTATGGGGAGAAACCTAGTACAGTCCAAAGTATGTAATTTGAACAATAGGTGCTGATTGCTTTAATCTGACTTTGTTTGTGTTCATTATTGACAGCATCACTTAACAAATTACTTATTAAATTTAAACAAAGTAATAAATGCTCATCTAGTTGTTAACTGTCATTAGTGTGGTAAAGGTACTTGGAATTATGTTAAAGATCTTGGAATATTATGAATTATTCAATTTTTATGTTGTTATAAGGACTAACTGCTGTCTCTTTGAATATGAGAACTTTCTGTTTTAATTGTATTAACTCAATTATAATATAATGAATGTGAACCTTACAATAATGCGCTGTATGTCTTTTTGTTTTAATAGCCCCAGCAATGCCAGAGAGGCCTAGGATTGACTGGGGCAAATTGAGAGAAGACAGAGCAAAGAATGAGGCATTAAAGTGGAAAGGTACTGTTTATATCATGATTATAAGCTTTTCCAATTTGAAAATGAATTCTTATTCATTATATTGATTCATATGCAAAAGATTGTCTTGCAGCTGCATAACCTTAATGTTATGGGATATTGTTTGCATAGGTTTAACTATTTTAACTATCTACAGTGTATAATGAAATGAATAATGGGAATTATAATTTTTACTGGATGATTTGAGAGTGGCCCTGAATGGATGAATTTAGAAAAGCTGTAGATATGATGATTAATAATACTGCCCCTAATGAGGGGTGGGCTTAGTTGTATGTACATTCAACTTTAAACCAGCTTATATTCATCAATGCGTGCACAGATGTCGTTATGTTATATAATCGGTCACAACCAATATCATTAATTACAGTGATCTTGAACATTTTGAATTCAGATTACCCTCCACTAAAGAAACAATTTTACATAGAAGATCCAGCAGTTGCTAATATGTATCCTGAAGAAGTGGCAGAAATTAGGTAAGACTGATAGAAAGATTTTGCATAAGGTAACTAAAAAAAATTAAATTACATTTGATTTATTGAGTTGCTTAGTTGCTATACCTTTCATTAACATTTAGTATATCAAGAGGTCAGAATGGTTTCTTAAAATATGGATTGTGAATACTAGTACATTTTATTTCAGGAAGATGAATAATAACATCACTGTAGAAAACTATAATGAAAATGCAGATGTCAAGATTCCAAATCCAATCAGGACATTTGAAGAAGCCTTTAGTCACTATCGTAGGTCTTTATGTTGGTACCCTCTTGTAACATATTACAGTTGAGAGGTTTTTTATTTAGGTTGTACATTCACTTGTGTTGAATTTTCTAATACTCTCAGAATGTGAGGCCTTAAAATTCAATTCTTAAAATGTGGTTGATTGAGTGAATATGACAGTTGTGTTCATGTTTTATTTCAGCTGAAATATTGGATGAAATAGAAAAGGCAGGATTTGTGAAACCCTCTCCTATCCAGGTATTCATTGTTTAAAGCAGGTCTTACCAACTTAGATGATTATATGAATTATATGAAATTTTCCTGATGCTTCCTCTATTTTCTCAAGAATCTCAGGCATACCTAACATGAATCAATTTTATTTCTACACATTTTGATACAACAGGCTTTAAAGTAAATGATTTGTAATTTTTTTTTAACGTAAGTATTTTCTGTGACTCGATGTGTCATATGTTTGAAAAAAAAATTAGATGAATTATACAAAATCGAATTTTCTTATTTGGCACTTTTTATTTATAATTTTTACAGCCTTTCTATAGTATCCAATAACAGTTGCTAATTTGGCTTATTTTCAGTGTCAAGCTTGGCCCATAGCTTTACAAGGAATAGATCTGATAGGTATAGCACAGGTAAGAGAGGCATCTTTAAAGGAGAAAGAACTTGGTTAAGTAAGCAGAATACACATTTAATTGATGACAACAACAAGTAATGTATTTGAATCGAGTGTAATGTGTTACAGAGAAAGTTTCTTGAAAAGTACATTTTGACATGGTAATTAATTGCTCTTGAAATGTGAGGTGACATGTTCAAAGAAAACTTGGTGACCAAGATTTTTGCTTTTTTTTGTGTGTGTTTTTTGTAATACACAAAGTTTATCCAGTATCATTTTTGTAATGCAAATTAGTATATCGGTAAATCAATGTATAAAGGAAAGTCTAAGGTTGATAACCACTTGGCATAATTGACCTTTTTCACAAAGTTTTATGTTAAAAAGCATTGTGTATTTCACATACAGCTTGGTGTCTGATATTTATTTTTATTGCATACAGTGTTGTATTTCAGACTGGCACAGGAAAAACCCTGGCTTTTTTACTTCCAGCACTCATCCATATAGATGGACAGTCAACGTAGGTGACATTTTTAAATGCACTTTTTCAAAAACTTTCATTTTGCTTTTTACCCCTTTTGTTTTCAGATTTATTTCATTCTAAATAGTCCATGAAATTAGCCAGTCATTGGAAAATTCATTTTCACAAATTTGCACTCTTATACTTATCAAAAAGATCAATAATTGTACAGTCTATCATTTTGAATTAACCATGTTTGGATGGTCCATAGCTCTGTTATATCATATTTATGCCATATTCTCAATGTATTTTAGCCCACGTGTAGAGAGAGGGGGAGCCAATGTTTTAGTCTTATCTCCCACCAGAGAATTGGCATTGCAGATAGAAAGTGAGGTTAAGAAGTACAATTACAGAGGAATCAAATGGTAAAATGACAGACAAAATCAGTTTTTGAACTTCCTTATTAGAGAATGATAGTATTTAAAATTGCCTGATAAACTTGATTTTATTTTTTGCAAGCAAAGAGAAAAAAGAATATATTCTCCATTAAATTTAACAAAATTCCATTAAAAAGAACAAATGGTTATGGCCATTAGTTTCCTTGGAAAACTTCTCTCTTTGGTACTTTTATAAAGTAAAGGTTTCATCAATAAAACATGAGGTTGATTTTTTTATTAACCGTAGTAAGTATTCAAGGCCATAAAAGTTGAAATTTTCTACCAATACAGTTAATGTGGTCTCCAATATTTCAGCTGCTGCGTGTATGGTGGCGGCAACAGAAGGGACCAGATAGAAATCGTCAGCAGTGGTGTAGAGATTATCATTGCAACCCCTGGAAGACTCAATGATTTGATTATGAATGGCATCATTGATGTCAGAAGTGTCACATACTTAGTAAGTCTACCAGAAACATAGTTTACTAGACTGTGCAGGACTAAAAATAATGAATCAAAATGTGCCATTTGGCAAATTTGAGATTTTTTTCTTACCAGATTGATTGACTGAAAAGGAGAGCATTGACAAAAATAAATACCTTGACTACCACAAACTTTAAAAAATAAGCAAAAATTAACATATAGTGTATCTTTTTGACAGGTTCTTGATGAAGCAGACAGGATGCTTGACATGGGTTTTGAGCCACAGATTATGAAAATTTTGCTTGATATCCGTCCAGACAGACAGACAATTATGACAAGGTTTGTATTTAATAGATAAACAAAGATTTGATGTATTTTTTTTTCCAAAAAGATTGACCCCTTTCAGAATAGAAAACTTACAAGTCTGGGGGTCAAATATGGCTGACCCACTTGAATATTTTCCCACAGGTTATCTATTCAGTGTCTATTCGCAGATTAGACGGCAAGCTTTGTAGTAGGTCACCATATTTGACCCTCGCACTAGTTAGTCCCCTATTCTGAATGGGGCCATTGTTAGAGTAAAAGCTGTCATTTGACAAATATATTCATAAAAGATCTACCATGCAAACTGCTATTCAGATTTCAGTATTGTAACTAACTCATCTAAGTTATAAGCATTTTCAGTGGAATTTATTTGTTTCAATATTGCTATTGATACCAGTGCCACATGGCCAGAGGGAGTACGTCGCCTGGCCAACTCCTACCTGAAGGACCCAATGTTGGTGTTTGTGGGAAGTCTAGATCTGGCTGTAAGTGAAGTGTATTGACAACGCTCCTTGATGTGAATAGGCCAATTTAAGTCAGTTTACATATAAGTGTCTGATCAACATATTTAATAAACATGGATTTAGACACAAAATAGATACAAAAAACTCAAAAACTTAAGTTATATTCTGCAGTACTGTGTTTTCATATTTTTAGTTACATGCTTGGGAAGAATTGTTAAACATTCATTTCTTTATGAGGGTTGTGTAGTTTATGCTTGAATTAAGTTTTTTCCTGGCAACAGGCTGTCCACAGTGTTACTCAAAAAGTAGAGATTTTGGCAGATGAAGAAAAGAGACCAAGGGTATGTAGCCTTTTAAGAATAATTTACTGTCATTGTCTCATTATTATATTTCAAGTAGTTCAGAGTTGGCTGTATGTTTTGACCATGATTGAACTCTTATGAACAGATGAATTATTTATGTCACAACAAACCCCCAGAAATCAGAGGAATATGAAATAATGCTTTTGTATTATTTATGTTACACAATCAGTTTGTGGGATCTAAGGCCTTTTGATCTGTTCTTTTGCAGTTAACAGAGTTTTTGACTCATGAACTGGGGCCAGAAGATAAAGTCATTGTCTTTGTGGGAAAGAAACTTGTGTATGTATTAACATAAATTTCAACATGGACATTGAGACCAATCGTAATTGACTGCACTAAGATTGAAATCCTGATTACATTTAATTTTATTTGAAATAAGCAATATTATAATACTTCAACTGTCAGTTTACCTCTCTTATTTAAATTTAAAGAAGTTATGCATACTAACCTGTTCACTTCTATCCTCTCCTTTCAGAGCTGATGACATTTCAAGCGAACTCAGCCTGGATGGTGTACATTGTCAGTGCATCCACGGGGATAGGTGAGGGCTTGTTATTTGTACCTCCCAAGTAGTTACATTATTTGGGAAAAAAAGCCCTGTCATTTCAATACAAAATCCTTTCTTTTCTATAAATAGCTAATTTCTCTATAAATTCAAACCCCTACAGATGTTTGTTGCAACAAATATAAAAAATATTGAATTATTTTTTTTTTTAATGATTTTTTAAAGATCCATTTTTAAATTATTTTCATAATTACAATTGTGTTTTCACCTGTAGAGAACAAGAAGACAGAGAGCAGGCCCTGGAAGATCTGAAGACTGGACAGGTGCAGATTCTCATTGCCACTGATGTGGCCTCCAGAGGACTGGACATAATAGATGTCACGTAAGTAAAATGTTCATAAAACCTATATTATTTATATGTATGACATTATTATTATAGATTAGGTCAGATTAAGATTTATATAGCCAGTAAATATGTAAAAATATACAGCATTGGGAATAAATTGCCCTTTAAAAGTATTGTTGTGTTAAAAACCGTAAAAGTTAAGATGACAAGCGCAGAAGAGATTTGTTGCTTATTCTAAGCTATCAGTTAAGTATTTTTCTTATTCGCCTGTTATTTATATTTCCTATCTTAGACATGTTTTCAACTATGATTTCCCAAGAAATGTGGAGGATTATGTGCACAGAGTTGGTCGTACAGGTAGAGCAGGGTGAGTTTCTTTTTAAAGAAAACACTTAAGTACTTAAAACACATGAGTAAAAAAGTGTTTACTTTAAATAGATACCTTCAACATCTACATAATACAACATGAAGGAAACTCAAATATTGCCAAGGGTTGCCATAAATA